ACAAGGAAAGTTGCTGGGTTTGGGATCAACAGGTGGCAGTTCGTTACAGAAGTGAGATTATATATTAAAAACGTTAAATCCAAATTTTTGAATGAATTAACTGTATGACTCTTTCTTCATTCACAAAAAGTTGTGTTGGACCTAGATATTAATAATTTTTTTACTGGATTGTTTTGGTATTAATTTGAGAAGACAGAAATGTAGTTTTAATTATACAGGTGTCACATTTTAAGCAGATTGGTGAGTATTTATGAAGTTAGATTTACAGTTACATTTCAAGCTTCTTGCATTTTTGTGTTTCTTCCAAATATATACTTTTTATCTGAAGCTCATTTTAATCCTTATTTGTCCATCCAGCTATCTGTTTTGGGGGAAATCTCTCTTTATTTTTAAATCTCTTTTCCACATATAGAAATGGAGAAATCCTTGTCAATATCACTGAGACATACGTCCCTGCTTTTCTTGTTAGTGAAATTGTCCATATTTTCTTCAAGCCTGGTCAGTTTCACCAGTGTAGTGAACATTCCCCCCCTCCCCATTTCCATGTTCTTCCTCTTCCTCCACCTTCAACAGCCAAGTTAGATTTATTGAGTAACCCATTAATAACCTAAAAGCAAACAAGATGCTGAGGAACTTGAAATGACTGGACTTTATCTGTTTCACTGAAAAATGGAGAGAAAAGGGAAGATTATGAAAGAAGTGGCAATAGACCTGGCCTGAAGGATACCCATAGGATTGTATCTGAGTCTCTTTCATAATTATGTATTTTCAAGTAAACTTTCTCTTTTTATTGTTGTATTTATGCATTATATGTGTTTGTAATCCTTTTATTAAACTGTATGCTTTCATTGTATTTGAAACGTAATGAAATTGGTTTTTTATTAATATATTTTCTCTTCACTTCTTAATCTGTCTTCTCTGAAATTATTTTCTCCCTCATTTTGTCCCATCAGTTTAAGCAGTGAACATGTTATTGCTGATGCAGCCTGTTTTGTTAGCTTTTTGGCTTGAGCCACTCTTAGCATACTGGACATATTTTGGTTTTACAGATGTTTTGTTTATCTTTGCTGCTGCTTTATGATTTCCCCCCACTTTTCCTCAGTCAATATATGATCCCCTCATCTGTGAAAAAACATCTTCCACGCCCATGAATCCAGTCAATTGGAGACTTCTGCAATTAAAGAAACTAGGCCAATGGCTTAACTTGCTTTCTGATAAGGAACTGTACATAAAACCCTAGAGATTTCAGCTGGCTGGTAATGGATGCTTTTTTCTATACTAGTCTTTGCCTTTTTTTTAATTAAGAAGAAAAAAATTAGCCTAGAAGCAGACAGGAAAATTTGGCCAAATCCAAACAATTAAAGTTTTTCCCCCCACATTCTGAGTAAAAATAATTGACAATGACAGGGCTTTTCATCAAACAAAATTTTCCTAAGAAAAATATATTCCAATATTCACTAGTGTAGTTTGCCAAAGTACAGGATGTGCATCAGAACAGAAGAGTGTTGCCCCAATACATGAGAAGCGTATGATAAGTGAATAGTGAGTTTGCTGTTGTAAGTATTGAAAAGAAATCACCAAAAGTGCCTTCATATGAAGAAAATTACAGAGAGATTTGCTTCTTCTCACAATAAAGGACATTCAGCTCATTAATAAAGTAAATAACACTAATTAACTTCTGTAAGAATTTTATAGAAATGTCCTCACTTTTCCACTCTCCAAACTAATTCTAGAATAGCCCTTTGCTGGAAGTACTGTTGAGCTGATATGATTAGAGAGTTTTCTAACATTTAAAATGTAATCTCTTTGTTTTGTAAAA